TTTATCTCTGGCGGATCGGAAATTTAAAGAATCCTATAAAACACTTCCAACGCATTTAACATCTGATTTAACAAACTTGTTATATTGATACATTTCCAACTTCCAACGCATTTAATAGTGATTTAACAAACAAAAAATATTATTGACCAACATAAATTAATGAATAAATTGCAGGTATTAATAATAGATAGATATAAAGGTGCCCGGTGGCGTAGAGGTACAGGCTCTCGTCTACCAATCTCAAGGTGTGGGTTCGATTCCCACACCCGGCATTTCATCAGCCGACTATTTTTATTAAAATAAAAATAGTTTAGGTACCTAGGTCGACTCAGCCTTAAATGAGTACTTGGGATTCACAATCCTGAGGTAATAATAGGCGGTTGAAGCGTAGTGCTAGCCACATTACCTTTCTTGTATACCGAACGGCTCTAGTATGGCAAGCTGTACCTTGCTACTCCCAAGGCGTTAAACGCTATATATGGGAGCTATTATTATTATTAATAATAGATATAATAATTTCGATTATAAAATAATTTAAGGAGAATAATCCTGGAAATATATTTCCAGAGGCTTTCAAATTGTTTGTTTTGTTTGTTACTACACCATGTACAAGTACTTGGGATGAGAGACATTTTTTTTAGTAGAGATTCCATGCAAAAAAATAAACGTTTATCGCCACTTGCCTTACTTTCAATCTAAAAAGATCTGTTCACAGCTCTTCGACAATCTGATGATTTTACTGATATAATAATAAATAACTTTCCTTTATTAAGAGACCGACTCATCAATTTAATATATAAAACATAATTATTCTTTCTCTCAATACTACCAATTTTTAAGCTTGCGTAAATAAATAAAAATAAAATAAAATTCTATTATGTACTCCATAGTGACTCCATAGTAATAGATAAAAAAAATAATAGATAAAATAGATTAATAAAAATTATACTTGTACATTATGTCATTACGTTGAATGCTGTTATTTTTGCTTTAGTCTTGTCCTAAATATTTTTGAGCTATGTTTTTAACCCAGATATAACATATATTTATAAACTGGGCTAGGGTATTATATAAATTAGGGGGCGGGGGGCAAATAGACGCAACTAAAATTTTGTAGCCTATCCAGTCACCTGTCGGCCTATTCGGTCACGAGCCGCCACTGTATTAAAGTGTCTGTAACTTTGGGAAAACATTTTAGGCTTATAGACTAATTTAGATTAATTTGTAAGCTCTTCGAGGCTAATCTCCGAGGCCGAAATGGCTGAAATAATATTTACTGGACTTTTATTAGCACGTAGAGAGAACGGATTAAACGCTCCAAGTTGTCTGTATATTTTTTTGATACTGGATAGAGAAATTCTTTATAACAGTTCTTATTCTTGTAGTAAATCCAGTAGGATTATTTATTGGAATAAGGTCGGAGTCCTACCCACTACAGTATGTCCCCTAATTGTCCTTACAAGAGAAAAAACTTTTTTATTATTGATATTTTGAGAAAAATGCATAAAAATTTTCGCTTGCTTTAAAATGGTTAATCCCGTTTACACTTTTCCAAATTTTAAAAAAATATGAAAATATGATTGAATTTATGTGAATGAAGCCCTAAAAATTAAAACCCATTTCTATTGTAATATAATTAAGATATCATTCTTTGATAGATTTTTTATTGCAAAATAAAACACTAAATCATCACAATACACCAAAACATTTACTTTTACACTGGACGCGCGTTTCTCTAACCATGTTAGCTTCGTCAGCAGATGATTGCAAAAAACCAGGTCATAAACCTAACCAAATAAACCAAACATACATCTCGCGATATATATTTGATCAAGAATTTAATTATTTCAACAAAACATGAAATATCTAACATAAAAACATACGAACGAAAAAAAAAATGGCGTCATAGACGGCTGGGGAATGACAATCGATAATAATTTTGGTGAGGTCAAGCCTTAGACGTCATTACTTGGCCCGTACTTTTCTTTATTTTTAATGGCACTAATTGGGTTAGCTGGCCTTAAGAAGGTTGTAACTTATTTTTATATGGAGTAAAAATAATTTTTAAATTCTGTATTTCAAAGTTCGAGAAATTTTTTTTTGGAAATGGACTTAGTAAACGTTCTAATCTTTTATAATCTTGCGATAATTAATGTTAATTTTTAATAAATATGACGTCTATAGAGATTGTCTTTAGGTTAGGTTAGGATGCTGGTGTTTGGGATCATATTTGATCCCTCACTCGGAGGCTTTGGGCCTATTGAGATACCCCTGTATTGTTATACCAAACCTTCCCCTCATTCTTTCTTTGCGTTAAAGCACTTCCAGCTCATTGCAAAGTTCCAGATGTCGCTCATGTTGGCTTCTGCTGCTTCCTCTAGTCCCTCCAAAAAACCTTGCCCTAAAGTTTTAAAGCCTCGGTATTCCAGTGCCGGACAGTAGCACAGCAGGTGCTCTATGGTTTCTTCTTCCTCTCCGCATTCTCTGCAGTGGTCTTCGTTAGAAATCTTTCATCTCACGAGGTTTACCCGCGTGGGACAGTTTCCAGTGACGACACCTACAATTATGCGTACTAAGTTCTTTTTGTGCTCTAGTAGTTGTTTTATCTTTTTGCTATCTACCACTGGCCATAGTCTTCGAACTGTAGCGTAGTTCTCGTCACAAGTGGTGGGTCATCTGCCACGGCTTCTCCCCTGGCCCCCTCTTTGGCGAGTCTGTCTGCTTTATGATTGCCCAGCACATTGCTGTGGCCTGGCACCCAGCCAGAGTAGCCCCACCCCAACAGACGCTGCCAGGACAGTGCTTCTCGGCATTCCATCACAGTTTTTCGATCTTACTGATTGTATGGTGATGCTTCTTAAAGCGCCCAAGCTGTCAGAGTATATCACGATATCCCCTATTGGTCTATCAGAAATTTTCTCTCGTATACAACTAGCCACTTCCTTTATGGCGTAAACATCTGTTTGTAGAACGTTACAGCCATCCGATAGCCTTAAAGATCGTCGGATGTCTAGTTTCTCTGAGAAGATGCCTATACCCTGTGCCTCCTGAAGTTGCGGAAGCATCTGTGTAGACTGCTATCTCTTGAGTGTTCATTATGATTTTCCCTATCACTGGCAATATCCTCGAGTGACCGTATATAGTTGGTCTGGTTCCACAGATTGGGTTCCCTTAATCTTAGGGCACCCTTAGCGGCCAGATCATTTACGAGCCAGTCGATTGATTGCAAGTCCAGAATTGCTTCTAGCGCGGCTTGCGCTGTATTGTTCCTTGCTCCATTTGTACCTAGAGCTGCTAATCGCTGTACTTTTGTGAGCTCTTAGTCTCTTTAAGTACCGCTTTAACTGCGTTTATTTTCGATCATACGGTAAATTTTTAGGCGAACGATTTTGTAATTTAATGTAATACATCATATAAAAAACAGTACTATGAAAAATAGAGGAATAAGGAAGTTTGGTTTATGTTAAATCGCAATAAAGGAAATTCTACGAAAATAATCTTAATAAAATTTGTAAGTAATCTAAAATTCATAACTGATGTTTTTTAATATTATTTAAATATTTAAAAATGTATTACTTGATATTGTTATTTGGAAAATAAGATTTATAAGGTTAAAAACACCAACAAATTTTCCACAATATGCTCACGAAACTTTTAGGGTAAAGGGTATTACGTAAACAATATTTTCACAGAAATTTCTGATATAGGTACCTATATTATAAATTAAAAACTATTGTAAACGTGGCTTGTAGTAAACGTGGAGACGATTTTGAGAGAAAATTGAAGAAAAAAATATCGATGACTATTATTCCAAAAACTATATATGTTTATTAATTTTTATTTTATTTTACGGGGCTTATTAATAGGGGTATTAATTTTATATTTTTAACCGAAAAGCTCAATATTTGTTTCGTGTGTCTCGTTTCTTGTTTGACATTCTCAATCGATTCTTGTTATACGTATAATATGCCGATTATGGTAGCGCATATTTTTAAACAATTTTTGTCAATACACAGAGCGATTCCTTATTGAGTATGATATTATGCTATTTTTACTGAACTAAAATACCACAACATTCATCTTTTGAAATATACAAGTATAGGCTTGGTGCATTTCCAGTTGATTTCAACAAATTCCCACCGCACAAATTTGCGCTTCAACAACAGCTTCAACGACAAAAATCAGAAATTATCAGTATTTATTTCACGCCGTCGCGCCACGCCGTTTGTTGATCGCATTAAAATAATATTCAAATCGAGGTTTTGCCATAATATTTAAGTATTTTAGTTTTTTGCTAGTGCAGTTATTGAGACTATAAAACACTCAGGTACGAGGTTTGTGTGATGTAAATTCATTCAATTGTTCGGGTATTAAAAAATAAGTGAAAATCAAGAATTCGATCTAGGCGTCGCGTCGCGTCGTGTTGTGGCAATTTCAAATGTTAATAAAATTGCCCCAAAAATGTTAACGCGTAAAGGAGAGCGTAATTAGGGCGTTGTTGGGTGCAATAACATTCAATAACTCAACTTTCCCGGATATTCAACTCTCCTAAAACAACATTTTATAGCTTCATTAGTTTCTCACACCGATTTGATCAAAAGCAAACATGGATTCAAGAAGTTCCACAAAACAAGTGAGTAAACAAAGTACTTGTTACATAAGCAAAAAAATAAATTTTCACAAATTATACTTCCTAACCCTGTAAGAATAATTATACATTTTTCGTATACTCGCTATTTAAACCCGTGTATTTGTATATACTAGTTTTTTACGATATTCTTCGATGGTGGCAGCACCGGCGGAGAATGCACCAAGCCAGGTAGATTGAAAACATATTTGAATTAATTATATATTTAAAAAAAGGACATTGGAGGGAAAATCTCAAACCATAAACCAATATAAAGGGTGAAACGCTGGTTTAACCTGTATATAATAAATAGGTTTAAATATAGTATAAAAGATACTTAATGTGTGTGTTAAAAAAACATATATCTACTTACATAATGTGTATTGTCCTCTTGATTATAGGCCAATTTCACCACTCCATAGGAACCCTAAAAGTATAAAGTCAGGTTTTATAATACAATATAATGATAAAACATGACAATCGATGATAATTTTAATAAGTTACTTTATTAAAATGTAATTTTAATACTAGTTTATAGTAATAGTTTTATATGCAAAATTAATAATACTATTACTAATTTAATTCAACTAAGAAATGAATTATATTTAAAGTGGGCTAATGATATAAAAATTAAGTTTTATTTATTAGCTTCTAACATCTATTTAGTGTATCCTTGGCGTATGCCTGTAGTGTGTATTAGGAGTTTCTAGAAATCTATCTATAATTACTAAATAGAGCCTTTCTGCACATTTATATACTATTTAAATTTGTATTAGAAAACCGTCTAAAAACAATTAAAAATAGTCTAAATGAGAAACTGACGTGCAAAAAGTTACGACACTGGTACGCAAAAAATCTGGTATTTAATTATTGTGGTTTTAATTTTTTTTTCTATAAACTGAAACAGAGATACGCTGTATATCGAGTATGCAGCCGGATTCTCTTTACTTTAAAAACTTTTTTATTTCTAACATTTTGAGAAAGATGCATTCTTTATTAAAATTTTTGCTTGTTGTAAAATGATTAATCCCGTCTACATTTTTCCAAAGCTCCATGCAGTTTTAGAGCAAATTAAAAAAAAAATTAAAGTGTGGTTGAATTTTTTGTCCTTGTTGAAGTCCTAAAAATCAAAACCGTTTCTATGGTAATGTTATTTCATTTTCATTCTTCGTTCATGGATAGGGTGATAAGGTTCCAGATAGGGTTCATGGATAGGGTGAAAATATAATACTTAAAAAACTGCAAAAAATATGATTTTAATCAAATTTAATAATAACCAGCGGCGTTTACAGAGGGGGGGGGGCATGGGGCTCGGGGCTCTCTATAAATTGGGTTAAATATTAAGAAAATGGTGCCCTAAAGAGCAAATTCTATATTACTTTTGATTTGGGCCCCCCTAAAATAAATTCCTGTATACGCCTCTGATAATAACCATAGACTAATGCCATGAATTAGAATAACCGTCTATTGGAGAATGAAATCTAAATTATATTACCATAGAAATTCGTATTTGCATTTTGATTTTTAGAAAAATTCAACCATGTTTTCATGTTTTTTAATTTGCTCTAAAATGGTATGGAAATTTGGAAAAGTATAAACGGGATTAACCATTTTAGACAAAGCAAATTTTAATTAAGAATGCATTTTTCTCAAAATGTCAATAATAAAAAAAAATTCTTGTAAACACAATTCGGGGATATACTGTATAAATTTTTCGAATTATTATAAGATTGATTCTCACTATACCTTCCATATCAGCTCCCGTTTATATAATACATGTAAATGAATAGGACAATGCACACTATCCGTTCCGGTTCCCTTCCGTTCCATATCCTTTCCTTCCATACATTTTTTTGGCGGACGGACTGAAGCGTATCGGAAACAGCGTTGTCAAGTTCTTACATTTGTACCGGCTCTGTTAAAATTTTGCTGATATTTATTTATTCTTTCACCTCTTAATTAAATCTATTACCTTTTTGAAAAGAAACAAATTTTTAAAATAAAACTTTCGTAATGATATAAATTGTACAATAAAAAGTATGGAACTGATACGGAACGGAAGCTTACGTATAGATACGTATTGTACACACAATACAAAAAAATACGGAATGGATATGGAATGGACACGGAAGGTATAGTGAGAATCAACCTTTATAAGGAAAAATGCTTGATACACAAAAGCCACTGCTCTAATATAAATCTTCTTCTATAATGAGAAACTGGCAATTATGATGGGCGATTAAACCCGCAGTTTACGACCAAATAACAATTAATAATAATTACATCGGTTAGTTGGCCTAATTAATCGAGGTTTGGAAAACAGAACTGCTTATGACACGTATACTTTCAGCAGTTGTATAGCGCTAACTATTATCCGTTACCCTGTATATTACTTTACTTTTAAATAACGACACCTTGTATTGAAATGAAATTTTGTGAGCATATGTAGGCTAATTCAGAGCACTTTTAAAAAATATAGAGAGATCTACAGGGTCTCCAAAAAAAGTTACATAGAGAAATTATTGTAGCTGCTTTTCGAGGTAGAACTCCACATAATACCTTTTAAAATGAAAAGATTCTTTTGAAAAGACAATCATTTTATGCAGTTAACAGGAAAGGAAGCATTTTGAGCATTTGATTTCATCAAGCTAATTTTTGTCACATAATTATAGCTTTATATCTAGTTTTAATTCAGTAATAATTAACATATGTTTTAAACGTGTATCTTTTTATTACCGTTGAGTATTTTACTCCATAATCTTTAATTTTTGTAACAACTCTAGATTTTTTCAAATAATAAAATATCTAGGAAAATCTTTGTCTGAGGGGTAGGCAATCTTAATAATATTTTGAAGATATATAAATTCTCCATTGAACACCGGAAAAATATACTGGGTGTTCCATTTAAAATAAAGGAGTTACTCCTTTATAAAAGTGATGAAAGCTTTTAAAAGCGACTAATGTTCCATATTAATTTTGTCTCACCCTGTATAACTTTTCGGGTCAAATTTCAATTTGGTTTAACGTACAATGGTTACTGTCATTAAATATCAGGCTATACAAGGTCAACTAAAATTTAGGTAGCTGTTATTAAAATTTAAAATTTACTCTACATTTTTACAAACTGTGAAATATGTCAAAATCCTTAGATTATAGGTATATGCTTTTTTAACAAAACTCACCTTTATTTTTTTCCTAGAATCAGAAAATTAATTAATATATAGGGTGTTTTCCATTAGAAAAAGCACAACTTTGATGTGTAACTCTTTTTGGGGACACCCTGTATAATTCTATATATTTTAAAAAAATGCTTTCAGTTAACCTACATATGCTGCTAAAATTTCACTTCGATATAAACTACCGTTCTTCTTGGAGCTTCCGCGGCGTACGAGAGGCGCCACCCTGTACGTTTAATTTTTCCAAAAATATATTTTTTTCTTTCGAACGATTGAATATGTTTAATGGTATTTTTATATCGCACAGCTTTTCGCATGAAATGTGAATTGTAGATACCATTATTTACGAATTTAGTATTCCTTTTAGTATGTCCCTGTGTATGCATAATATATTCCGAAAGGTTTTCGTTGTATGTCACGTTCTCAAACTGACATGCCAGACATTTAACTATCTGACATTTCGTACGAGACAACTATAAATAATGAAGCAAAATGCGTTTTTCAAGATATTGGTACAGTCATTAAACTTGAAAATTTTGATTATTGTTAGCCATTCTACTATATTATTTCTCAGCTCCGGATCTACAATTTTTAGCCGACCATATCAACAGGTATGGTAGGCTATTAAGATCGGCAGCATTTTAGCGAAAGTGTTTCTAATTTCACTCAAAATGAGTTATTTGGGTCATAAATGACCTAAATATAAAATATTTTCATGGTGTCTGTCTGTCTGTCCGTCTGTCTGTAACACTATAACTCAAAAACCGCTAAACCGATTTTTATCAAATTTGGCACAAAAATACTGTGGCACCCGAGAATCTGGCCATTAGTTTTTGGTGGTGGTGGGGGGTTGGTAAGAGGGTAGGGGAGGGTGTTAACAATTTTAAAAAATCGTAACTCCAAAATTACAGTAGCTAGCGAAACGCGGTTTTCAATTTAAGATTAGGAATAATATTTGCAACAAAATTTGTAATAACATCAAAATCAGTAAAAGTCGCAGTTTTTGAGATAAAAAAAATGGAAAAATTCCTTTACTTTGAAACTAAAAGAACTGCCTACCAACTTTTTATTAACATATTTTAGTATGGGTGGCTATACGTGCCTTCCGGCGCCAATTTTTTTGAACCGGCGCGGCGCGGCTGCGGCGCAGGAACTTGATATTAGCAACTCCTCTCTTCAATATGAACCCTTAGGATATGCTCAAAAATTAATTAGGCGTTTTAAAATCAAGTAGTGAATACTGGGTAGAAGGACGCGAGCTGAATTCTAGGCGCTTTGTAAAGCAAGTTTTTTATTTTCAGCTCCTTATATTATGATTTTTGCGCTCCCTGAAACTGCAGCATATAACGGTTTTTTACGCTGAAACATTTATTAATGGTAAAGCTAGCTTTGAATGTTCACTTTTGAAACTTTTTGATTACACAGTACCTATACCTATTACTAAAAATGGTTTTAATGTGGTTAATAAAATTGTTGTTTGTAACTAAATTGTTTAGGTACATGTAGAATGTTTAGGAGGGGGGTTAGATTTCTAGTTTTTTGGACATAACGAATGAGTCATCGGCTGGTCATCAGCGACAGTTTAAGCGATTTTCAATAGTTGGTTGTGTGTAATGAACTTTGTATAAACTCTATTACAATGGCTATTTGTTCAGCTTTCAAGTGTAAAAGGCGCAATGATAAGAAAGAGACAGGAGTTACGTTTTATAGGAAAATAAACAGTCCACTACACCTTTTTAGCGTTTTTTTTATTGAATTCGATAATTATTTTTCTGATATTATTTGTACTTGATATGTGCTATACGTCGATACTAGTTTTGTACCTTTTGTCAACATTTTAATACGTTTTTTTCGTAATTTAATTAGTATGATACCACCGGATACACCATAGGCGTAGTGAAAACATTTATCAAAAATATAAATTACGCTTCAAGCGGTTATGTTTTGGAAGAATGGTCACAATTTGGTCTCGGGTGCTATTTGTCCTTGTATTCTTTAGTAATTGATCGAGATACAAAAATAACAAGTACAACCTAACCTAACATAAAATTCTAACGAATCCTTAGCACAGTTTGAATTTCTGCGAAGGTTCGTTAACTTAGAGTTACTTAATACCCATAATATATAATAGAATTTTAAAAATTACGAAATCAATATCTGCGGTCCCCAGACACCCTTAATATATTGAATTCGAAACATTTTCCGCCACTCACCTGTCCAATCGAATCCAACAATTTATATTGATTGAGCTGCAAGTAGTGGCCCAGTTTTTCTATCGAAACTCTGCGGGATTCCCTCAGGGGCTGTCGCTTTCGATTGCTGCGCGGGGAGTGCGTGGGACTGCAGTAGGGGCTGTAGGGGTAGTTTGGAAAAATTGGTCGGCCGGTAGATGGCTCCGGACCCCCTGGAATCAGAAAGTTTTTTTTTATTAAAGCCATATCGTCAATTATAGTGATACGTGATAAAATTAATTAAATTTTATCATTCATAGCAGGTTTCATAAGGAAGGTAACTTTTCTCGAATATAGAGAACATAATACAGTTAACAGGGTGGCGCCTCTCATACGCCGCAGAAGCTCCAAGGAGTTTATATCGAATTGAAACTTTGGCAGCATTTGTAGGTTAACTGAAAGCCCTTTATAAAAATATATAAAATTACACAGGGTGTCCTCAAAAAAGTTCCTCATCAAAATTGTGTTTTTTTCTAACGGAACACCCTATATATTAATTGATTTTCGGACTGTAGGAAAAAAATAAAGGTGAGTTTTATTAAAGATGCATATAGCTAAAATCTAAGGATTTTGACATATTTCACATTTTGTGAAAATGAAGAGTAAATTTTAAATTTCGATAACAGCTACCTAAATTTCAGTTGACCTTGTTTAGCCTGATATTTAATTACAGTAACCATTGTATGTTAAACCAAATTGAAATTTGACACGAAAAGTTATACAGGGTGAGATAAAATTAATATGGAAGATTAGTCACTTTTAAAAACAAGTTACTCTTTTATTTTAAATGGAACACCCAGTATATTATTCCGGTGTTCAATGGCGATGTTATATATCTTCAAAATATTATTAATGTGGCCTACCCCTCAGACAAAGATTTTCCTAGATATTTATTTTTGTAACTTTGCGTCAGTAGATCTGTATTATTTGAAAAAATCTAGGGGGGGTGGCTGTGATATACCTTTTGTTAATTTAGCAAAAATTAAAGAATGTACAGTAAAATATTCAACGGTAATAAAAATAAACACGTTTAAAACATATGTTAATCATTGCAGAATTAAAACTAGATATAAACCTATAATTAGGTGACAAAAATTAGCTAGATAAAATCAAATGCTCAAAATGGTTCCTTTCCAGTTAACTGCATAAAATGATTGTCTTTTCACAAGGATCTTTTCATTTTAAAAGGCATATGTGGAGTTCTACCTCGAAAAGTAGCTACAATCATTTCACTCATGTTGTCGACGATAGTTGGTCGAGTTTTGTAAACTGCCTTTAACATCTCCCCATAAAAAATCCAGATTAGATAAAATCGGGAGCATTTAAGTATTCTATTAATTGGTGAAAGTACACTGCATTTACCAACTAATAGAATCATATCAATTCTCTCTGATGTAGGACAAGTTTGCATTTTCGGCAAATTTCTAAGAAATGTTTTTGTGTTTTAACTGACACAAAATGATAACTAGTTGTTAAAGTGGACTAATTAGACAGCTATGTTGAAGTAACGTCAGACATATCACAGCCACCTAGATTTTATCAAATAATAAAGATCTACTCAGATCAAATCATGTAAATGAAAATATCTAGGAAAATCTTGGTTTGAGGGGTAGGCAACCTTAATAGTATTTTGAAGAGACTTAAATTCTGTATTGAATATCGGAATAATATACTGGGTGTTCCATTTAAAATAAACGATTAACATGCTTTTAAGACCAATGTTCAATATTAATTTTGTCTCACCCTGTATAACTTTTTGGATCAAGATTTAATTTGATTTAAAGTACAATAGTTAATTTAACTACATATTAGACTATACCTATTAGAATACTACTAGAGAGTAGTACTAAAATATAAGGTTTTTGGCATATTTAACATTTTCTAAAAATAAAAAACAATTTTTAAATTACAATAAAAGCTACCTAAATTGAAATTTACCCGGTATAGTCTAATAAGTAATAGTTTTATAAGAGTATAAAACTCACCTTTATTTTTCTTCCAGAATCCGAAAATCAATTAATACATAAGATGTTCCATTGCAAAGAACACAACTATGATTATGTAACTTTTTTTTGGGGACACCCTGTAGAACTCTCTATATTTTTAAAAAGTGCTCTGAATTAACCTACATATGCTCACAAAATTTCATTTCAATACAAATTGTCGTTCTCCTTGGAGCCTCCGCGGCGCAAGAGGTGCCACCCTTTACTTTTCTCATTAGTTACTTATAAATTTTACTGTACGTATACAGGGTGTTTCAAAAACATGTGCCATGTGCCATATGCAATCTCTCGGGGGGAGATGGGGAGATTCCTGACATAAAAATAAGACTTATTTTTCATATCAGCATAGGTCCGATTCTGCTTTGTTTCGTAGCTACAGGGTGTTAAGGTCTTAATATTTTTCGTTTTATTATAATTTTCTTCCAAGTACTTTTAGCGTTTCGAATAAAATTTTGAGTGTAAAAGTTACTATAAATGCTACATGTTAATAAGACTAAAAAAGTGTCGACATATTCACCAGGGACGTGCATATAAAAGCATGTATGTCATCGACTTTTTTGACTGATTAAAAGTTGTCTTTTAATATTTTGTAGATTTCGACCTCCTTGATTGATTAATTTGCCTTGATCCAAGTTTAATAGCAAATTTTAATAGCATTAACTTGCGAAAGTTTTAAATAAGTACTCATTGATTCCTCATCAAAAAATATGAAAAAAGTTCATATAACCATGGTATGAAAATACATAGTTTTAGAGTTATAGTTCAAAGTTTGATAGCCCCTAGCGGACAAACGAAGGACTTTTGTATAGAGGTAAATTGTATCCAATGAGCTGATTTTGATTCCAAAAATACGTAGAGTTCTATGTCCACGGAATATTGGGATACCCTGTATAAATACAATTTAAACATTTTTAAATGAAGTTAGTAATTCATTTAATAATGATACTAAATCTTGTTGATATTATAATTACGTTAAAACATTGAACGTCATTTGAATAATATTGTAATAAGGAACCACATTTAATTAATGTAATAAGGCTGACAGTCCTGAAATACAATATATCTCTCGAGTATAGTTAATTAATCACCACACATTCTATATTTCACATTTACAAAGGACAATTTGAACTTGTTTCTAATAAAATCATACGAAATAATTAGTTGTTCTCTAGCATACAAAATAGTAGGTTGATGTTAAAATTTATAGTGGTATAGGCTGTAATTTGCGCCTATAAATTATTTGTGAACTTTATGGAATATTTTCATAATCTAAAAATAAATAACATTGATAAATTATCATAATACCGGGTGTTTTTCAAAGGTGGCTCAGCCCTATAACTTATTTATTTTTCAGATGCAAAAACGAGACTTGGTATGTTAGTATACTAAGAGCTGGCAAAGGTTAGTCTTGGGTCGAGATTTCCGTATGTAAGAAGAGTACAATGCGTTTATAATGTACTGAACAAAGAGAGGACATTAAACACGTTGCCAAACGTATGAAATAAACCGAGAAACTGTGCACATCGTAAGAGACGTGGAAGGGGATATAGCAGATTTGTCGCAGTTGACCGGTCGACCCAATCAATACCTCTGTCAGTACTTAAAGTTCTAGGGAAAGGTGTACGCCATGCGTTCAGCTTTACGATTTAATTACGTCTCGTGATACTTAATTTGTTTATTTATTAACGAGTCGTTGTAATTTTCCCTATAGCTTGAATTTTTTTTAAGTGCAAGCTAGAAAGACTTGCATTTTTGGTAAAAATAAGTGGAATTGAGTGGGTGTTCGATATTGGTCGTGCTATTAGAACTCTGAATTCAAAAATCGATATCTCGAAATCTATTAGAAATAATAGATTGCAGTTTTTTCAAGAACTTTGTTAATATTTCTGCTGTATTTTCCTTGTAGACAGTATGTGAAAATCTTTGTCAATAAAAAAATTACACGATTGCTGAAAATTGCTATGCTCTAAAAGTAAATGGATGGATTGTTTACAATTTTTGAATGGAAAAAACAACCTTATTGAATTTTTCTTATGTAAACATATTGTAAAATATCCGATCTTGAAAATAAAAAAAAATTTCAATATCTAAAGTGGTTCTTCAGTTCTTCTGTTATGTGTTAAAAAGTTGAGTTTTTAAATTATCGCGATTATTGATGTTTTCTCGTTGACACCCTAACGATATCCTTATAATTCCATTTCAGATGCTCAGAAACATATCTAATGATTTTATCTAGTTATCTTTTCGAAAAAAAGTACTCAAATCTTCAAATCAAATAAGCTATTTGCGATTGTGATTTTACTTTACTTGATAGGAAAAGGCGTATCGGCAACGCCGCAACAGCACACCTTCACGCGTCGCGTCGGTCGGTCGCATTTCTCTCACTCCGACTTAATAAGATCCTTATGCGATTTACTTCCACACATGTAAATGCCGACCCAAAAGTAACAGTTGCCAGCACGGTATGACATAAATGAGGATTGACTGACGTATTTAATTAGTCTTTGTTCACTTATTCCTGTTTCACTGGAAATTCAATGTCTCCGGATTGTCTTTACAAGAGGAAAAACTTTTTCATTATTAATATTTAATTATTATTTTATATAATAGAAAAATGCATTCTTCATAAAACAATTTGCTTGTTTTAAAATGGTTCATTCTGTATATGCTTTTCCAAATTTTCATACCGTCTCCGTCTTAAGGCCGCCTCAGACACGCATGCTTTTCGTCCGTTTTGCTTGCACAGTCATAAGTTGCAATGCAACACTGAACGCTGGCAATCCTTCATACACTCCGTCTTAACGTGCAGTTTTCTCTTCAGTCGTCAGTCTTCAGCTTTCAGAATAAACATGGACCGTCAAAAATTAGCTGTTTGCGCAGCAGCAGTCTTGATCATAAAAAAGAAAAAAAGGAGAGACCCCGAAAAATATGGTCAAAAAAATGGTTGCTTTTGAGAGAAAAATTTACACATATTAATTTGTTGAATGAATTGAAGTTAGAACCGGAAGATTGGTTTAATTATTTGTACCTATATTGCCCTAATTGTACCTAAAAGTAATATATTTTTTAGTGATATACCATATTGTAAACTATTTAATATTTCACTTAAAAAGTAAATTTGCATTGAATAATTGCCTACCAAAGGAAATTTGAGCTATATAATCCTTGATGGGCATATTCTGGGTATGCAAATACTTCCTCTAATTTTTTTTTAAATAAGACGTAATGCAAGACTGAAGACCAATCAGACTCAACGTTTTCTTCGCAAGCAAGTTGGAACGCGAACGAAAAATCAACCCGCGGCTGATTGCGTTCAAGCCAGTCAATTGACGGTACACGATAAACAAAACGGACAACTTGATGCTTCACACACACCGTCTTGCATAGCAACTTAAGACTGTGCAAGCAAAACGGACGAAAAGCATGTGTGTCTGAGGCGGCCTTTAGAGAATTTAAAAAGACTTGAAAACATAATTGAATTTTTTCTAAATCCTAAAAATCAAAAGGTGTTTCTATGGTAATATTATTTCTATTTGATTCTTTGACAGATTGTTATAATAGAATTTTAATTTCCATTATATTTTTTGCTGTTTTAAAATGTTAAAGAAGTACAGAATTTATTTAATTCATTTCTACGGAAAGGGCGATAATAGTTATCGGAAAATGTGATACTTTAACAACAATAAAAAACATGACATTAATGGAAATTAATAATACCCATCTACCAAAGAATGAAATCTAAATAATATTACCATAGAAATGACCTTTCATTTTTATACTTTTTTAAATTTTCTCAAAAACGGTATGAAGATTTGGAAAAGTATATAAACGGGATTAACCATTTTTGAACAAACAATTTTTTTTATGAAGAATGTATTTTTCTCAAAATGGCAGTAGTAAAAAAGTATTTCCTCTCGTAAAGACAATCCGGGGACACACTGTAGAGTGCCATAACCATAAATGTAAAGATAATTTGACTTTAAATACCAAATATGTGGTACCAAATTATTCGTAAAAATGCTTTTCCATGCTAATGAACCATATAGTCTTTGTTTGCCACTCTGTAAATCGGGAATTTCGTATTTATATTTCGTTAAAACGCTTGTTAGTTTTTTTGTTAGTTCTTAAGCTCTTTTTGGTATCAGAAAATGTTCCATGCCTTAGGGCTATTGTATTTTCTACATGGGTTAAATAAACAATTATCTATCTATCTATCAAACATTGTCCTAATATACAGGGTTGTTCACCAAATACGACGCGGAGTATTGTAGCTAAACTCTTAGATTTTTGCAAATTGTAAGTTTTGGGTTCGTTGAAGGACTATTAGAGCTACAATTTAAAAATATTTTTACAAGATACAGAGTGGCCTAAATAAATAAAAAATATAAAAGTTGTATTTTTTTACTGTATAACACCCTGTATATTATTACATATTTAGTTTCTACGATTAAAATAAAGGTAAATTTGATTAAGGTTTACCGCATTATAATCTTACCGTTTTTGAAATATTTAGGTTTTTGTCAAAATACAGTAATAATTTTAAGGCTTTATTTCTCCAGGCGTATTTAAGTTTTTAAAACCAAATATTGTACTGAAGTATTTCTATTTACTAAATTTTGTGTTGCAATAATACAAATTATACTACCTTATACAGAGTGTCTAAAAATTTATTTTAAATAGTAACTAGCTATAAACGGCAATAACTTCTATAATTTAAATGGAACACCCTGTATATTTTATGGGAATCAGATGCACAATTTAATTGTCTATCAAATTGTATTATATCATTTTTTACCTGTGTCTTCAGGTTTTCGTAGAAAATGCATTTTCTTATAATTTAGACCACAATAATATACCCATGGAATATTGACATTTTTGATTATTTTTAAAGATCTAACAAATTTTTAAAGGTTGCAGAAGATATTAATATTGTCGATATAGTTCGTTTATGTCATTAAAAATAAAAAAAATAATTGTCTAAATGATTGTAAAAGAGGACCAATTAATATGATTCTAGTATTCAAACTACATTAATTGACTGCTTGCGTTGATTAATAATAATTGCTTCAAATACTAAAAAACTTAATGTTGTTTGTGTATTAGACAGTGCGGTAAAAAATAACACCTTAAAAATTTTATTTCATTTTTTGAAGGATGCTGATTTATAACAACAGAGGCGTTCATTTTCATAACTTATTATTATATTGATATCTGATTCCAAATCCACATTTATTTAGAATAATTTATTAACTAACACAGTTAAATATGTAATTAATTAGTATTTGGGCGGAAATAATGGTGGTATTTTTAATTATAAAACACTCTTTTATAAATATTTAAATAGTTTTATTTTTGTATACAAATAGGCTGGTAATATTATCGTCTTTAGCACCTATACATTTGTTGGTTTAAAAACAATCTAAAATGTCAATATTCCATGGGTATATTGATAAATGAGGTCTAAATTATAAGAAAAAGCATTTTCTACGAAAACTTGAAGGGATAGGTAAAAATGGTATAATACAATTTGATGGACAATTAAATTGTGCATCTGATTCTCTTAAAATATACAGGATGTTCCATTTAAATTAAACAAGTTATTGCCGTTTAAAGCTAGAAATTATTTAAAATAAATTTTTAGACACTCTGTATGAGGTAGTATTATTTTTATTATTGCAACACAATAACTGATCAATAATTAAACTTCAGTAAATAATATAGTTGATTAAGAACTTTGATACCCTTGGAGAAATGAAGCCTTAAAATTTTTACTACAATTTCACAAAATTGAAAATATTTCAAAAACGGCCAGGTTTAAGGGTGATAAACCTTAATCAAATTTACCTTTATTTTAATCATAGAAACTAAAAATGTAATAATATATATGGTCTTTCATTTAAAAAAATACAACTTTGATATTTTTTATTTATTTGGGACACTCTGTATCTTGTAAAAATATTTTTAAATGGTAGCTCTAATAGTCCTTCAACGAACCCAAAACTTACAATTTGTAAAAATCTCATCGTTTAGCTACAATACTCCGTGTCGTATGTGATGAAAACCCTGTATTCATATACAAGGTGAGTCTTAAATAAGTGCAAATATTTTTAGGGCTTGTAGATCTGGATAAAAGAAACGTATTTTCTCTTTACCGTTTTTCAAATAAGTCCAAAATAACCGAGTGATTATAATTTGAAAATTGCAAAAAAAATATATTTTTTGTTTAAATTGTGAGAACCACTGAATTTTTCTGGGTTTTCTTTCTTGTATATTTAATCTACTACCTATGTTGCGATATTATCAAGAATTTATGTTTATTAACTAAAAAAAATTGCGAAATGTTTTTCATAAAATTCAAAATTTTTCATAATCGTGTTTTCTGGAGTCAAAATATATAAATATACCCCTAAAAATATTCGCACTTAAAACTCACCCTGTATATTCACTAGAGGATACCTTGATTTAGATTGTAAATAAAATTAAAATTTGCAAATATATTGTCTGAATAAAGGATATATAAATAAAAATAATAATACCTAAAGATTTGGACTGTACAAAAAGCTTGCTTGTGCTGATTCCTTTAACTTGCATTTTGGAAACATCCTCGGATAAGCAGGTTGGGGAAGGCACATAGTTTTCTATCACAGATCTTGTTTTCTTCAACGTAGGACGGGAAAAATGATGCTCGGAAATGGTGCGAGCGCATTCGGGTACCTTCGGACCTCCCTCTGAGGTCAGCGAAGTGCGCAGCGATTGGGTCGTTTCGGCAAGTAATCGACTGACGTCGCATTCTGTTGGCGGTACCGTTCTAGGAAGATCTACTGTCGCGTTCTGTCGTAGCGGGTCGAGCGGGATTTTCGGCGGTAAGATTGGCGAAGCTGGTGGGATTTGGTACGCGCTGCGCTTGGACTTGTCATTGTCTTTTGGTTTTAAGTCTACGTCAAGAGCAGAATGCCTGAAAAAAAAACGAGAAAATATATTATTAAGTATATCAAACCAATTAGGTACTACCGGGTGTTTTTCAAAAGTGGCTGACCCCTATAACTTTTTTATTTTTTCAGATAAAAGCGAGATTTGGTATGTATGTATATGACATAAATCAGGATTGATTTACGTATTCGATTAGTTTCTGTCACTTCCTGTTTCACCGGAAACGGCTACAACTTGATTTTTAAATGGTACACCCGATATATTTTTACTTTATTCGATATAAAATTACATTCTGAAGAAAATAGATAGCTAATTCGAGTCTATAGAATAGATAACTCAATTTTTTAAATAATAAATGATTCAATTGTAAAATATGATTTTATTACTATTTGTATAATGAAATCTTATATTTGTATACATTTTTTATGGAACTCATACTCCACCAAACTCTTGTGTAAAAATAGTCCGTTTTTCAATATCCTATGAACTAGGTATACCTCATATTTACTTATACAAACCTTACAGAATTGATTTTGTTATTTGAAATAAAATTAATCTAGATGTTTGAGCTGTGACTGTGACTTTAAAAATAGACTACAATAGAGGGAACAAAACCGAGATGAAATCAACATGTGTTCGTAAATTGGTTTTAATTAATAAACAGACTGCCGGTAATTGAATTAATTGACACTTGTTTAGGGCTATAAGACCGTCACTTGGAGAAATGGAAGCGTCGCGTCGCCCGCCGTGCTGAAAAACATGAATATTTATTGTATATTATTAAACATTTGTTATATACAGTGCTATTTGTATAATTATTCGTTTAAAATTTTAGAATATAAAATCTCCCTTTTTAATATACGTACAGGGTGGGTCAAATTCGATGCTTTTAAAGGGAAATACCCTTTTCTACCGGGTGCGTCTCAAAAGTGGCTCACCCATATAGGGGAAACTTTTATATTTTTATATAAAAATATATAACTGGAACTATAACTACTATAACTTTTTTATTTTTTCAGGTAAAAAATCGAGATTTGGTATATTAATATATGACATAAATTAGGATTGATTGACGTTATTCAATTGTTTTCTGCCACTTCCTGTTTCACCGGAAATGACTACAACTTTTGATTTTTAAATGGTACCCTCGGTGTTTTGTTGCTTTATTCGATAGAAAATGACACTCTGAATATAATGACATATCATATGTCAACTTTTGACATTTTCGAATATGAAAATATGTTTATTTGAAATTGCAACATGCGATTCAAAACGAAAATTTGACTCGAAATACCAAGTGTGTGGTACCCAATTATTCGTAAAAAAATGCTTTTTCCAAATATGCTAATGAGCTACCCTCGTTCAGTTTGAAAAAATTGAGATATGATTAAATATACCATTTGGGCATATTTTAACCGGCCAGGATAATAATTACGAATAATATTAGACTATCAAATCAATTTTTCCAAGGCTCCTTGATTAAAAATTAGTGTTTTTAACACAGCCATGACACTCTAGATTGAAATTTAAAATTTAATTTTGTTTTAAGCAAAAATGTAAAAGTTGACATATGATATATATCATTCTATTCAGAATGTCATTTTTTATCGAATAAAGTAAAAAAATACGGAGGATGCCATTTAAAAATCAATAGTTGTAGTAATTTCCGGTGAAACAGGAAGTGGCCGAAAAGAATTGAATACGTCAATCAATCCTAATTTATGACATTTACTAACATACCAAATCTCGTTTTTTCATCCGATAAAATAAAAAAGTTATAGGGGTGAGCCGCTTTTGAGACGCACCCGGTATAGGAGATAGACGAAAACTAATATCGGTGTCTGGAGGTTAAAATTTTTATCAAAAACATGATGGTGAAAACCGCACATCGATATCTGTTACCGTTTATGAGCTACGGGGTGTTTTTCAAAAATGTGCATTTTTAACAAATGGCTGTAACTTTTTTGCTATGGAAAATTTTGTATTTTTATGAAAACATTTCCAAAACACCTTTTTACGTAGAATTTAATGGTTTAAGTATAATTTTTTTAAAACTAATAATTTACGAGTTATCAACAGAAAAGTCGATTTTTTATTTGGGACACCCTGTATATTTTTAATTAAATGAAAAACCTTAAAATTACATTTCCAAAAATATAGCACACTTGATATTTTGTTATAGTCTTCTTCAAATACAGAATTTTTTAAAGTTCACCACTTTTGATTAGTAGGCTTTGGGAATTATAACTCGTTATAGGCTTGGCATGCGTGGTGCGGAAACGTGGTTAATCAAAGTAAGGTCCCTGAATCGCATCGAAGCGTTTGAGATATGGACTCTCCGCAGATTATTTAAGATATCGCATATCGATCACAAGTCCTGCGTAAAGCTGGTTTTGAAAGACAACTGCTTAATATAGTAAAGACCCGGAAAATGTCATATTTGGGGCACATTTTGTTCATATGAGACCGGAAGCAGAAGAAGATAGCCTTGGTGCATTTCAGTTGATTTCAAAAAATTCCGACCGCAGCGCTCCCTGCAGCAGAAATCAGAAATTCTCACTATGTATTTCACGCCGTCCCGGTTACAGTTCGTGTTGATTGCATTAAAAAAATATTGAAATCGTGGCTTTGTCATAACATTTATGTATTTTAGTTTTTTGCTAGTGCAGTTATTGAAACTATAAAACATAACTATACTATATAACTGTACGAGGTTGGTGTGTCGGGTAGTAAAAAATAAGTGAAAAAGAATCCGAACTAGGCGTCGTGTTGTGGTAGTCTCAAATATTAATAAAATTGTCGAAAAAATGTTAACGCGTAAAGAAGAGCGTAATTAGGGCATTGTTGGGTGCAATAACATTCAATAACTCAACTTTCCCGGATATTCAACTCTCCCGAAACATTTTATAGTTTCATAGTTTCTCACATCGATTTGATCAAAAGCAAAAATGGATTCAAGCAGTTCGACGAAACAAGTGAGTAAACAAAGTGCTCGTTACATAATCAGAAAATTAAATAGCCATAATATACTATGAGAGGACAAAATATAATTTGCAATATTAATGGTAGACATTTTTTAATCAACTAGTGATTAAATGTTTTATGAACATTTTCTAAAATTATAATTATGTACCTTTAAAATATTTCGTTATCGCCGAAATAGCTCTAATTATGACCCCACTAGCAAATCCAAAGCGTAAAACTCTTGATTATGAATAGATAATGATAAAACTATGCCGGCTACCGTAGTTGAACTCATCTAAAGAGTTAGTTTTAGATGGAATTATAATTTATAATACAAGTTAGATATTCTAAGATATCAATATTTACTTTTTTATTTTTAGTTTTAGGATTTTCACATATTATACTTTTAGAATAATTATACAATAATTTTTTCGTATAATCGCTATTTAAACCCGTGTATTTGTATATACTAGTTGTTTACGATATTCTCCGATGGTGGCAGCACCGGTGGAAAATGCAACTCAAGAAAGGAGAACACACAATAGATCTGTAACATCGCGGTGATTAACCCCCCTCCTAAAACTTCTACAATGTATTATTCTAGAATATTATTTATACTTCGAAGAAATATGTATCTAGTAATGTTTCTTTTACTTACATGTTCTACACGCCATCGGGTAATATATTTTCCGGAATAAATAAATATGCACAACTAATGCACAAAATAGATTAAGAACCAAAATTACTTTCGTGACCTATTCAAATAAATAGACGTTTACTGAAAACGTGGTAGCTTCGTATTCAGTCTTCTCTGTTTATTTTAGACTTTATTTATATATTACGGTAAGTTTGTACTACCCATATTGACGTAGCGTGGGAACAGGCATTGTGGGAGCTTTTTTGTTATTGTTATCTAATGTGATTTATGGACTTTTTTTTGCTTTAATGATAGAAAATTTGTTAGATGTTTAACTTATAATAACTTAAATAATGTTTGTAGAGCTTTTAATAATTCAGTTTATAAATTGTAAAATAACAAAGATTTTGTCAGTTTTTAGGTTAAGTCTAAGTACTAGCACAGAATTATTAATACTTATTATTAGCTGAGTACTAAAAAAAACATGTAAAATGTTACTTTATACATTAAAAATATATCTAAACATATAACAAATCTAATTTTTTCTTCGATTTATTTGAAAAAGTTTTGTAGTTGTCTTCTGTTCCTTTGTTGTTTGGTAAATGATAATCGGCTTGTTCCATCATATATTTGTTTTTAAACATTTATTGATACTAGTTATTATAATTACCGCATCATTAATTTTAAAATGACATATTTTGGCGTTTTCGAGATACACAAGTTTAAAGTTTGTAAGGACGCGGTAATATTTTTATAAAAATGAAGAGCTTATTAGCGCAAATAAAAGGAAAAAAACTATAAACACAAATAAGATTTACTTACACTTCATAAGAAGTATGGTATGTAACTTATAGGCTTGGCGCATTTCAGTTGATTTTAAAAATTCCGTTTATGTTGGTCATATTAAAATAATATTGAAACCGTGGCTTTGTTATAATATTTAAGTATTTTAGTTTTTTATTAGTTTATTATTTAGTTATCTAGTGCAGCTATTGAAACTATAAAACACTCAGGTTCGAGGTTTCTGTGATGTAACGCTGTGTCGCGTAGTAAAAAGTAAAAATTATTAAAAAAAACTCGAACTGGGCGTTGCGTTGTGTTGTGGCAATTTCATATGCTAATAAAACTGCCGAAAAACTCTGCCGAAATAACATTTTATAGCTTCACAGCTTCTCACACCGATTTGGTCAAAATCAAGAATGAATTCAAGCAGCTCGACGGAACAAGTGAGTAAACAAAGTGGCCATTACATAGTCAAAAAATTAAATAGACATATATCTATGAGAGGATAAAATATAATTTGCAATATTAATGGTATACTTTTTTAATCAACTAGTAGTTAAATTTTTAATTATGTACCTTTAAAAATCTCGTTATAGCCGAAATAACCTAGTTATGTCCCTAGTAGCAAAACCGGTGCGTAA